GTAACTAGTCTATCTCATTCCACAAACGTTGTGTTCTTTTAAGGGTGAGGCACAAAATGATGGGCTGTGCTTCACAGCGCTTACCCACTTCCCTGTTTATCCATACCTAAAGATGGGCTGAACTTTTAAAGTCACTAATTTGTAATAACTGCTGCTCTGAAAAATGTTTAATAATTAAGCAGTACAAAAGTAAAGAGCCATGACAAAGGGCATTTTATCTTACTTTGGAAGTGGAAGCAAGCGTGTGCAAACAAACAAGCCTGTTGCCTAATGTGCAAAGTGTGCTCATTAAATTATTCATCACAAAATTTTACAGGTCGCTTATCCTTAAGCTTAATCTTGTGAGATTTTATTTATGTTTATTTCATTTTCTGTTTTAGATCTCTCCAGCTCTAAAGCTAACATGAGACTTGAAACCTGGGGTTTAGCTCTGGCTCTTATTTTTTTTGCTGCAGTGCAGGCAGAGACTTACATAGATTCCAAGAAATCTTCCTAGATGATCTGGGCTCATTCCATAATTATTCTTTGGATGCAAGGGAAAACACACATGGCTGTTTCTGGAATCTTTTTTAGAAATACCTTCTTGATTTATCATAAACTTTGCCTTACCTGATGTGTATACACAGTGGACGTATCTTGCTAGATATATCCTGCCAGAACTACTCAGAAAGAAATTGTTTACATTATGTGATATATTAAAAAAACAAACAGACTAAATGTTTATATACAGAAAAATTCATGTTACCTTGAAGACATGTGCATTGTTAGGTCACATTCTAAAGGTTGTGGAGGACTTGGACAAAAGCTAGTTAAAAGACAGAGGTAATATCCAGAAAACTTGAAGAAAAGAGTAAAAGCAGTGCACCTTTCAGCTTTACATTCGTGACACAGGTGATCACAACGGTGACAGAAAAGGCACCATGTTAAACACACCACCTTCTTCATGCCATTTAAGCCTTTTGATCCCTTTTAATTGCTCTCTAAAGCAACTTGGCATTATTATCTAACACACTTTTTTTTGCACTGGTTTCCATAGGTTCCATTGGGTTCTAGGTACACTTGAATTAATAAAATAAAAAAGTCACTGATTTGCTGTTGAAAAGGAAAGAGAAAAATCTTCACTTTCCTCATGTTCTGTCTGTCAGTCTGGTGGTTTTTCTTTATTACTTTGATTCAGTGATTATTTGGCAAAGGACTGATCCCTTCATTAACTCTTAGCTAGCAAGTCTGCTCATGAAGGTACCAATACCTGGAAGGAGACTATAATATCTAAGTTTTTTTCTCAAGTTATCTTGAGAACATGCTGACTCTTCCCCCTGTTGTGGAACAATAAACATTTATTTTTGTTCTAGGTGAACTACAGTACATTTCTTTAAAAAATGTCTTTGTTAATTTCTCAGCAAAAACTTTATCATTATAATAATTAGCAGGACCAGACCTTGGAATTTACCTCGTTTCTATTCAGATGACTAGCAATTATACAAATAACTCTCCCAAGAGGCAGAAATTTGTCACAGCTAGAGAAAGAGAAACTCAGACCCAAGAGCAAACTAGAAAGTGGAGATAAGGATTTCTGCACAGTATTTATGTATCTAAAATAGATGATTTTGTGTTTTCTGAATTCCTGGTTCGTTAGCTTGTCCAGGGCTGAAACAATTCACCAACTTCCCCACAAGCTAAGCACATCCAATTCAAATGAACAAATTCACTCTAGACTTATCTTTCTCCCTCTTCTTAAAAATGAGAACACTCGTGAACAATTTACAGTGTCACTTAAAATACATTAAATTTAATATAAATTCAAACTGAAAATCAAAGCAGATTTCTCACAATACAAAAGCCAATGTTATTTTGACTGTTAATTGCTGTTATTTAGAAGGCAGTCAACACAGGTATTTGGAACAAGCCATACGAGATACCAGGATTAGTCTTGTACTTATGCAACATGAAACCTTATAGACCAAGTCCCATCTGCTGGATATTAACAGGCAATCAGTTTCCCAAGACTTTGTCTTGTCCCTTGTAGATACAAATACTATTTTAAACAGACCGGGTCAGGCAAGTAACTTCCTGCATAAATGATTCATGTACCAAACACACAATAAACCAGAAAAAAAAAAAAATTCTATGCATGAAACATCAGGGCCCAAGTATCTGTAAACTGTTGAAAGTAAAACTGAAATCTGAACATGTTGTTCAGAGTCACTGGAATGTAAATCAAAGTTATAAAGAATACTGAAGTGCACTGCATGTTTGCATAAAATTTCTAATCTCATACAAAATCTAATATGTTTAGAAAAATTTAAATGAAACTACTTTTCTGACAAGCATAACATTCAGTTTGCAGAACAATGAAGCTAATATCTAACCTACATGCAGTTGCTATAGGACAATGAGTCTACACATGAATTGATAAAAGTTGATACTCTACCTCACTCTGCTAACTCTATGTGTACATATATAGGGACTCCAAAGATAGATCCACAAAAAGACATGTTTTAGGGAAAATATTTTTATATTATTTATTTTGTTTCATACTACATTGAAACTAAACATTTTATTCTGGTTTAAACTGTTGCACTTTTTTTGTTTGTTTGTTTGGGGGGTCGGTTTTTTAAAGCTGATAAGTCACTTTCAAACCAAATATTTTTAACCCAGAAATCATTCAGAAGTAATGAAAAAAGAATATTTCAGTATTTTAATGACTTTATTTCTAAGTCAATTAAGAGGAAAGGAGGAAGTATGTTTATTTTTCTCATAATCTTTAGCATATATAAAAATAAAGTGCACCACTTTAGGTGAAAAATTCAGACCTAGCAAAAATGGTTTTGATGACACTTAGGTGATAACACGTCTGAATTGGCTCTTTCAAGATACATTTTTCTGCTACAAATATGTGATCGACCTAAATGTATTTTACTTCCGTAATGTAAACAGTCACATTCATAATATGAAGACATTCAAATGGAAAATATGGACCTAGAATTATAGCTACATATTTACAGATCGAGAGTATCTTAACATGTGTGGACATTTTTTTTTTTAAATGAGATTTTAACTTTGCCTTTTATGGGAAAAACCCTATCCCATCTACATATCTAATACCTCTGATGTTAGTTGCAGCTGACAGAATGAGGTTCAGCACAGCACATTCCTGGTTTATACCAAAAATGTTCATTTTACCATTTGAAGCATCCACGGTTCATACACGTCCTTCTGCTTAGTAAGGAAAGTGTTAAAGCCCATCACTTGTACAATATTTTTAAAGCTGTACAGTCCCATGCATTTTATCAATCTCAATTTAAGGAGCTGTCTGAAAGTAAGCAAACGAAGCAGAATTCATCTCTGTTCTTAGTAGAAAATTACATCTGTGAAACATCTGATTCAATGCTTATCTTTGAGTAGTTGCTTATGAGAGAGGTCATTGTATGTTTTCTAATGTTCTAGAACTACAGTCAAGATTGAGTTCATAGTTAAATGAAGAGATCACAAGGAGGAAATGTTAAGGCAGTCTTCTTAACCCATACACTCAAGGGGAGAAGAAAGTAGCCACCGTTTATCACTGCTTGAAGCAGGACAGAATTTGCAGACACAGAAAATGCAGAAGGCAATCACAGCTTAGCAATTTCCTGGTGCCTTTCATCTAAACACCACCTAATACTAAATAAACATTAACGAATTAAGGCACTTAACATATCTACAAAGTAAGTACAGTGAAGAAGAAATGTACTTGCTTTTTGGCAGATGTCCTAGTACCCTAAGGTTGATGGTAAAATGATCCATAGCAATAAAAAGATCCAGAGCAATAGTTTCAAAGATGTCAAGAAAAAAAATTAATATGCTTTCATAGTCTACAGAGAGCTTTTTGAGAAGTTGTGGAAAAAACACACTAAATATATTACTGATCAAGTAATTTTAAATTTATATGTTTTTTTGATGAAAAGAAAAAGGCAAATTTTAAGAAAACTCAGGAAAAAGTTCAGGAAAATTTTCAGGGAAAAAAAATATTTTTAAATCAACTCTACTCTTTATGTTGTTACCCACTGGTAAAAATCTCTTTTTGTTAGCTCCAAGAGCTTCTGAAAGTCCTCTTTCACAGTTTTAGAAATACAGAACTAGTAAGGAAAACAGAAAAATTGAAATTCAAGTTACAAGTAATTTATCTGTTCTGATTATTTAGTGTATGCATGCAAAACTTTTCAAAAAAGTAGTAGCTTGAACGTTAAAAACATGTCTGGACATGCTTACTTCCAGTTCTTGTAAGGCTTGGAAAGGAGGGAAAATTATCAGTGTCATAATTTGAAGTCTTATGTGGATACCTTCTGATTTGAGTTTGCTTTAATAAAGATTTTCCCAAAATTCTCTCCAAATTTTTTTTTTATATTTCAACATATGTAAATAACAGTTTTCTCCAAGTGTATAACCTCTCATGGAACATATCTTTATACAGTGTAAATATGTCCTCTAAAAAGCCAATATCTGAAAATGTTCTTTAAAGTTTTCTGAGCTAATCACAGTTCTGTATTTTCATAATTCTATGTAAAAATAAACACAGTTAAGAACTGAACTCAGACTTCCCTTTCATTTCCAAGCTTATACTTGCAGCTTTAAGGATTATTTTTCTTCTAATGCAGCAATTGAGATTAAAGCATTTCTTAAAAAACATGCAGAATGTTCTAAATGTAGAAAAATATGAGTGATAAAACATTATTAGAAGCAGTTGACATCAGGGCACCAAATTCTTGGCTTCATAAACTTGATTCAACTATATTGAACAAGACATTTCATTAAATTGCAGTGATAATGTCTGTTGAAGTCTCTTGGCAGGAAAGTAAAACTAAAAAAATAGCCATGCAGACCACTGAAACAAGTTTGCTCTTTCTGTTTCTGTATACAATTGTTTATAAATAAGTCATAAATAACAATAAAATTATATCTGTATTATCATTTTATTGTATACCTATCATCTTGATTATTTTTCAAAGGTTTTTGGCTCACATTTATACAAAGCTCTCTTCCATATTTGTGCATAGCAGAAAAGAATCCACAAGCCTAGGCTTTACTAGCTGCTGAAAATCTGAATCTTCAAGTCCATCAGGATTCATAAGTGCCAGTCTCCGTAAGGCTGCCTAGGAAAACAAAACAACACAATTGTAATACTCTTAAGTTTTGACAAAGTCTTCATTACATGAATCCATTATAACTTCCTCCAAATAATAGCCAAGACTCAAAACTGAACTGTGGAGATCTATGGACTCTTCTACCTGGCTAATTTCTCATCACTGTCTTCATCTGTCAGATTAATCTCCCCTCCAATGCAGATATTAAATGACAATTATTTTGAGGCACATTACTCTAAAACCTAAGCAGCAGGATAGCGTATTGTTAAAGAGCACAGAGGTGAGAGTCAGAGCACCTTGATTGTAGACCTATCCCTGATCTGCTTCTTGTATCACACTGCCTCTGTATCTTAACTCTCCCGTCAGCTTTTGTCTAATGTAAGAGATGAGTTCTCTATATAAATTCTGTATATAGAGAACTATAAGCCATCTGATTCATTAAACATCTGCTACCGAAGTTGTATGCAATGCCTATAACAGAAATTTATTACATACTAGTGCAGTAGAAGGAAACTGTCCATTTCAAACCATATAGGAACAAATAAAACTGCCAAAACTCTGAGGCTGAGCAGTAGGCTGTTTCATTTATGAGGCTGAACAATAGTAATTGCATTGAGATTACTATTATCTTAATAAACTGTTCTAAGAAGTTACATGTTTTTCTCACTGAAGAAAATTATACAACAATTACATACCTTCTAGCAACCTGACACAACAGATGCAACTGGAAAGCAGGCTGGCTTTCCTCAAAAGCAGAAAATGTCTTCTATCAATAAGGTCTGATAGTTTTAATCTGCTTTTCTCTGTGCTGTTTGTCAATGCAGCACTAACACAAGAGTTAATCACCTGCTTCAAAATATACAAAAAGCAAGCAACCAAGCTAAAATACCAAACAGCCCTCAGACTTCAGTGAAAATACCTATCAGAGCCTGAAACAGCTTATGTCTTTTTGCCACCTGTTGAACAGAAAACTTTGTCAGGCAGTTACTAAAATACCAAGAGGAGCAGAACTGCTGGGACAGACAGGCAGGTAACATCTCAAGCAGTACCCATGAATTCAAAGAATGTGCAACAATAACTTCAGCAAGACAGAAAAATCCCCGTCTGGTTTGCTGCCATCACTCTGGCTTCTTCTCTAGCCATACAAGATTAACAAGCCTTCTTGGCATGCATGAAAAATAACCACAGCATTTCTTATGCTCATATTCATGTTTTCCTCATCCTGAATAAATGAACATCCTGCTTAAATGAACGACACTCAGGTGCTGGTACAAAGCTAGCTGTTGATGCAGTAAGTTTTACATTCACATTAAAATAACATTAATACTACAAAGCACTGACAAAAAATATTCTTCAGTTTTTGTTCATCAAAACCTATAACTTAACCCTAGCTCACCCATGTTCCCAGAGCAGTTTTCTCTCACAGAATGCTAGGTGAAATTCCTCAACTCCAACAGTCAGGTGGGGCTCACAGCCCACACAAGGCAGGGCCAGCAGCTGGAATCTTTCTCCTAAGCACAGAAAGTGTTAACCTTCTGTTGGCCACTCCTTGGCTGGACATTATATTGTCTTTGAGACTTAAATAAAAAGAATGGATTGTAGTGAAAGCAAGAAATCTCCATACTTCTCTTTAGCCACTTTACATAAATATTTCCATACACATGTGTGTGCAGATAAAGGGCTGTTACCCTGTGATTCAAGGCTCATTTCAGCAAACATAACATCATCAGAGAATGGAATTTAAGAATTATTGAAGCCTTAAATTCTGAAATGTTCCAGTTAAATTTTTCAGTGCTCAATAATGTTTTCCTTATGTGTCAAAATCTTCAGAGGATAAATAATTGACACTGTACAGTGTTATGCTTAAGGGGAAAAGCAGGAGACCCTGGTATGAATTTAAAATATTCCTGCAATACTTAGGCATTTTGAAATATAGAGGGCTGTTTTTTCTCTGTTTTTCAGGGTAAGCATGAAAGAGAGATTAATATTTACCTACCAGACATGCCACTAAAACAGAATCACTGTTATTTCTTTCAGTTGGTGATCTGCAGAGTTGAATTAGACGAGGAATACCTGAGTGCACAAAAGAGTACCAGGAAAAACAATTAGGAAAAAAAAACTCCTTATTTTGTTACAAGGTCCTTTTTTTAGATGTTTCCTATTTATCTTCTTTTAGTAGATATGATCTCAAATGCAAAAATTGTATGTAAATACTTAAGGGACTCTCTATGCAAACATGCTGTTGAGACTAATCATAAAAAAAAGCATAAACTAACACATACAATGTTTTTTACCCACTACTGCTAGTCCTGAGTGGAAATCGTGACCTCCATTTCTTCCCTACCAAGCCTCCCACGTGGTCTTGAAAAAATCCAGCCCAAAGAACATGTTGCTTCCCATTAGATTCATTGCATCTGAACCTGTAGAAGGCCAAGTTTTCAGTCCACTGACAAATCCTGAGTAAAGATTTAAGTAAGGGAATAGAGCAGGCAGCACTATCAGTTGGCACAGCCTGCCACGGATATCACAGAATCACAGAATATTAGGGGTTGGAAGGGACCTCCGAAGATCTTCAAGTCCAACCCCCCTGCCAGAGCAGGACCAAAAAAAACTAGGGCAGATCACTCAGAAAGGCATCCAGAAAGGTCTTGAGAGTCTCCAGAGCAGGAGACTCCACAAACTCTCTGGGGAGCCTGTTCCAGTGCTCTGTAACCTTCACAGTAAAGAATGTGTCAAGCAGATACTGCACCTCAGGTTCCTCTAGGAAATAAGCTAGAGGTTGATTTAGCTCAACCTCCTCAGTCACCCTCTGGACACATTATATGTGAGGGGAACCTATTCCATAAAGTGTACCAAGTGAGGCTAAAAATTAAAAAGAGCTTCTCCATGACTGGCAGTTCCTCCCTCTTCTGCAGTCTGCCATTCAGCTAGTGATACATCCTTACAGCTGAGTTTCACGGCTGCATCTGCCACTTGAGGATCTCGGCTGAGTCGTGCCAGAGTAACAGCAGATTTCTGTTGGACTCGCTCACAAGCAGCAACTTCTGCTGAATTTCCTGAAGATGATCTTTCAAACAGCATTTCCATTAGAAGTTGAACACCTAGAAGGATGTAAGACCCATTATTCTCTCTCCAACAAAAAACTCAGTCCAAAAAGGGAAAGGGAAAAAGTAAGCTAGGTAAATACAGACAAATCTCTGCCCAAATAGTGTATGATAGATGCATAAATGTGGACTGTGATTTGGCGTCAGCATCCAGGCACTTCTGAGCTGTGCAAAAGTTTGTCCTCACTAGGAAGCTACAGAATGTCTTGAACTAGAAAATACACTAACCCTTCCTTCCTCCAGCTTCTTGACTCTGCACAAATTGATACTTTAGATTTCACAAATTTATTTCAGTTAAACTGAATACAATTCTTTATTTGCTTCTAAATTAACCTGAAGGTAATCACTAACCAGAAAAATTCTAAGTACATATTTCAATTCTCTACATGAAGAGGTTTTTTTTCAAATTAAAGGAAAGTAAAACAGTTTATGTATTTTAAAGCAAGTCATTAGAAGTTCCCATCTCAAACTGTTTAAGGCTATTTTAAAATGAGGAATCCTTTAATGGGAGAAATGATTACTTTCTGCCTCTTGAAGATTACTGTGTGACTCCATGGTTTCATTGATTGATTGTTGCCTGTAGAATATTCTTATTGTAGCACAAAACTAGATAAGACTGTATTCATTTCTATGTTCTAGATTATTTTAAATATAAGGACAGTTATGTGCTATTAGACTCCATATGCTTATTAGGCATTCAGATTATTTCAGGTACAATGAGAGGATTTTAACTTGAGAACATTTGCATAAATAATTAAGAGAATTAGCATTAGGGTCATACAGCCAGATAAAAATCAACATACAAAAAAGTCAAAGTTGAGAAGAAAACATATCTGTACTCTCCAGGATTCACGACCCTTCTCAGTTTGTGAATCTGGCTTCTGACCAGCAAGCATCTAATCATATAATAGTCAGAGAAAAAGACCTTTACACACAAGATGAGTGTCAACCCTTCTCAAAAGTCTTGGGGAAAATGCTTCTTTGTGAACTTCCATTATGAAATGTTTACATGAACTTCATCACATTTTGTTGGACAATCCACATGTACCTCTCCACCTACTGAAGTATCCAGCAGGAGTTAGGCCTCATTGGCATAGTTGTTAGTACAATTTCATTAACTTAATCAAGTTTCTGCTATAGTAGAAGCAGATGAAATATGATCAAACACCTGTCCCAAACAACAAAACTCATTTTGATGTGCTCAAGGAAATAGATAGCCAAACTATATAACCAATCTGTTAATCAGAGTGCAAGAGCTTCAAGGGCATATCTGGATGCTTAGTGCTAACAACAGCAAATCAGAAAACATCAGCAGAAATCAAACAGACAAATCACCAACAGGGTATTCTCTAACCAATCTTTATAGTTACAGGCACCTAAGACATCCTGGGAGATGTGAGGATCTTACCAAGTCTTTCTAGAAAAGCTTCTGGGTAGAGAAGCCCCATGGGCCTGCACCAAGACGTCCAGGACCACCTCTCCAATCTCCAGGAACCTTACTCCTTCCCCTTACCTGCACTGCCTTCATACAGTCAGGTAATTTGTAAAACTGCATTTATCTATGATTAAATTGCTTCAGTATCCAGATCCATACAACCTCCACATCATCATTTAGTCTCAAAGTGCAACACCTATCCACCTTAGTAAGGACCTCAAATGCACACTACACACACACATGGATTACATCAAGCAAATTAGTTATGCCTGATACTGGTCAGTTGTATTTGTGTGCACAGAGCTCAAATTTTCCACTGAAATGCAATAAACATTGACATCAAATATTACTAATCAACTATCAAACTTATAGAAAAATTACTAAATAAAAAGGGAATTGGCCAACTGAATTTCAAGACCCACTTCTGTGTAGATGCTTTCTGAAACCTCTTCTCACCAACTACAATCAGCCATGTCTGAGTTTCAAATGGAGTCAAACTCAAACCATTCTTATCCAAACCTTAATTTTAAAAGTGTGTAAAGGATATTCTTAGGAGAGAAAAAGCAATCTATGTGAAGCTCTACTGTAACTTAATATTCCTTCCCCCCTCCCCCCCCGAAAAAAAAATAAAAAATAGAAAAAAGATAGAGAGAAAAGCCATTTGACTCTATTTGCTGGTAGGTGTGTTAATGAGGCTGTTAAATTCTCCTGTATCCTTATCCACAGAATTATTCACCTAATTTCTCAGATTTCTGGTGGACCTGTAATACCTAGGGTTTTTTTCAACTTAATGTATTTCTTACAATATGGTATTTAAAGAAGTGTGGAAAGTGTGGAAAAAACATGGTGACTGCTGTATAGTAATAAAAACATAATGCTTCCAAATCTGTAGTACTTCTGAATACCTGTGAAAAAAAGGTGGACAAAATGCAGGTATGCATGGTTCAGTGGGAGATGATGTCTTTCATTGTGTAAGAATTTCCACCTTATACAATGTATTTACCAGAATAAAGGTTGTTGAAACCCTTTGTGCTACCTTACTTGGTATTTCTGAAGAAATGAAACATCAGCAATATGGTCATACATGCAAAATTTTCCAAAGCAGTGTTAATTTCTTTCAGTTAACACAGGACCATCCTAAGGACTTATTTTGCACCCTCCAGCAGAGGCAGGATATGAAGTATTATTAGTGAAGCTTTCTCCTTGACCTTGTAAGCAGTCCTTTCCTATCTACCCTCATTCTCCACAAATACAGAATAAAATTCCAATAAAATACATACCATTTTCTTGTATGATTTCTGAGGCACACTGGTCCAAAACAGACATGTTAGCCAATATTGTTACCACCTGTTATTAAAAAGAGAATTAAACACTAAGTATAGCCCTACAACTCAGTAATATTAAATAGTGGTTTATAATATTAAATTACAATGTTACATTATAGTGATAGTAAAGTAATTGATATTACTGTATTAATGTTACTTAATAATTAAGCAATATTAAATTGTGGTTTATAAAATTAGTATGGCAGAAATATGGCAAACCAAATAAAATTAAAAAGCATCTATTCTTGCAATTGAACAGTCTATTCCCACCTTTGTGATTTCTCAGGGGTCTTTATCTCACACATGGTTTCTAACTGAAATCCAGACAACAAGAAAAGCAACACCTCTTTTTCCTCACACTCATATTCATGCACAAAACTGTCATATAGGGCTCTATGCAGCAGATTTGTTCAGTGGTCAAATCACTAGAAAGAGGAAAATTAAAATTTTTTAAAATTCACCAACTAGAAAATCCCTGGAGTCCTACAAGGAATTCAGGCAGGAGCTCCCCGCCCTGGGAAACGGAGCCAGTAGTCATGTTATTTCTACCTTTCTGCTTCAGGGTTCAGCTGAACTGTTGAGAAAACCTCACAAGAGATTACAAGTTTTGAGCCTTGATTCAAGGGAGTATTTAAGGAATACTTGTCAGTTTTATTGAAGCCATAAATTGTGTGCATGTCAAAGCACTTTCCCTAAAATAAGCTGGACTTAAAAATCTGTTCATACGTTTCCTGAGCTAAGGCCAAGATTAGGTTTTGTACCAAGAGAAGCAGATTTTGAGATCCTGATTTTAGCACTGTTTTCAAGGTTAAGTAACTCAACTTGTTGAAATGATGCATCAATCCATTGACAGAGACTGAATTATGTGTAAAGACTGTATTTCAATCATCCAGTCCCATCACTGGTACCATATATTTCCTCTCATACATCCTTCAAGATATTCTTTTATATTTTAGCCTTCAAATAACTTGTTTTCTGCATGCAAACACATCTTAATATTAACAGCTTATGTGAGTGACACATAATGGTACACATAATTAAAATATAAATATTATCTAATAAATAGAATACAAAAATAGAAATTTTCTTTTTTTCTTAAGAAGTTTTTATTTTCTCTAGTTTAGTGCAGAAAAACTGATCAGCCTCAAAAATTATGATCAGTTTTAGAAACAGTTATCAGCTCTTTAACACTACAGTGTCAGTTTACAAACAAGCAAACTTCTTAGATGTAAGCAGGCATGAGATCAAATCACCATTCTGATCTCACTTAGCCATTTTGATAACAAGGATGACTCATTTTTGATGCTGTGACATAAAGGTCTTCCACTTTTGAAGGTAGTGTTACAGTGTCATCTCTCTGAATAAATATACTTACTTAGGATGCAAATGAGTTGCTGAAACTCTAAAGAGTGGCAGGTAGAAATATGGTAACTCAGTATATGTCTATGTATTTATTCCATATTAATTATTAACTGTGTTTCAGGCAGAGTGTGTATGTTTTCTCATTCTAAATTATATCCTGTTAATGAAAATTGCTTCCTCTATGCAGAATCTGTACCCCATGTGGCTCCCTAAGCCATGGATGAAGAATTCAATTAACCATAATTTGAATATGTGCCATTTATTCCAGTGCTTCAAGTTATTTTGTCTAATAAGTATTTTCATACATAAAAATATTTTGTGGGCATCTTTTGACACCAAAAATCATTTGAGGTTATATCTATACTTCCTTTGTGTTGCTTATGAGGTCCCTATATTTTGCAATGTATTTATGAACTAGCCTAATGTGTTTTTATGTAACCTTCTCCAGAGGGGCTTATAAAAGACCCTTATCATCAACAGCCATCAAGTTCTACCTGAATTATCTTTTTAAATCTTAGTAGCACTTGAAAGGCAGTTAAATTATAGATTAGCTCACTCCATATGGATAGATTTTTCTCTCCCCAAAAAAAGCCATATTTTCTTGTGATGTAAAGAATGTAACATGAAATAGCATAATGTAAACCCATAATAAGCAAGCTGAATAAAGAGCTGACTTTAAATGCTATATTTCCCCTTTACTTGCCTGTTTTAAAATGTAGTTATATATGCAGCTTATACAAAAATTTGCGCTGTAATACATGGCAAAGTTCAAGGAAGTTTAATGCTAAATATGAACTCTCTAGAGGAAAACACAAACTTAAGTGTAGAGTCTATTCGCTTGACAAGCAACACTTCCTTCCATGAGCACTGGTAGTAATGAAGACTCATTTCTTCTGGATTTAGAGTTGATCACAAACCATAAACAGAACGTTCCCAGCGGCATCTCTCTTACTGTAGATTCTTCTTGTCTAATGAAACATAGGCTCATGCTGCAGTCTTTATCTTAGCCTCTCTATTCCCATTATCTCCCTCCAAATTCCAGTAAGCCATAGATAATCTCTCAAAATTAACTGTGAAGTTGTGTTGAATCCACAAACCAGTTCAGATCTAATTGTGAGACATGGAGCACACACGCAGCTACAGATAAAAGTGACTGTCTAAGCCTCGTTTCCACCAAGAAAATAGATGAAAATTACTGGAAAAAATAGACACCAAGCCTTCTCTCAGAACCGAAATAGTTTTGAAAGAGTTTAAATACACGTGCTGCAAGAACTGATCCCATCCAGCTCCCTGCCTCACTACCTGTGTGTACAAGGTAGCTCTGTTTTGGAGCTACATCTTGATCCATGTATCTCCAGTATCTGCATTCTAGCAGATCCCTTCAATAAATTAAGTCAGGCTAGTCCAGACTCTTATTTCTGTTATCCAGGTCCATCCAAAATTGCAGGTGCTTCTCTACGGCAAGCCCCTGGTAAACCTGGTGACTGCAGCTTTCTCTGCAAGAACTGGAAGGCCACTTATGAACACCACAGAAAAATAGACTTGATCAACAAATAATGAACTAATACATTTTTTTGCCACCAGATGAAGTCTAAATTATTGAAGACAGTGTCACATGAGTAACACTACTGAAAAAACAGTGTAACAGTCTCTGGGGTTTATCTCTGCATTCACCACCTACCTGCTAATATGTGCTATGCACCTACACACCTAAACCACATAGAAGTGAGACACAGTGAAACACAAAATGCCATTCACAGATCAGCTCACATTTTAGCACCTTTTGAAGAGGCATCAGCTTATCAAAATAGTAATATGCAGATAGCCACACTGGGACTAGTAAAATTTTTCACAAGGTTAAACTGAGACAAGGAAGTTATCTTTCAGAGCTTAAAAAAAACATACCCAAAATCAAGAAGCTTTGAAACTTCATATTTCTGGTTAACTAAGTATGGATGGACATGGGAGGTGGGATGGTGGGGGGTGGGTCTCCCATTTAGATTAATGGAAAATTTCCTTGTTTAATAAATCAAGTTTAAGGTTATACAGATAATACCTTTCAAGTGTCTGTACAATGTCGCTACTCTTGCAGTTGCGCTGGGAATTGATCTAAAAACCTCTGATTTTTAATTTAAAGAAGCACATAGGGAATTAATTCTGCATGGGTCACATGGTGAATGGACATGTCCCATAAACCTGGTCATATGACTCTAGAATTGTGATAGAGCCAGAGTGCATCTCCTCTCTCACTTCTGAGGGCACAGTTTTCCATTTTTCAGATTAAAATCTAGGTGAAGAAAAAATTATCATCCCTCAGCCTTCCATCATGGTGTCTGATAGCTTCTTAGCCAGCAGTGTGCCCTGGCAGCCAGGAGGACCACCCGTGTCCTGGGGTGCATCAAGCACAGCACTGCCAGCCGGTCGAGGGAGGTGATTATCCCACTCTGCACTGGTGTGGCCTCACCTCAAGTACTGCGTGTGGTTTTGGGCACCACAATACAAACAAGACATCAAGCTATTGGAGAGCATCCAAACGAAAGCCATGAGGATTGTGAAGGGTCTGGAAGGGATGACTAATGAGGAGCCACTGAGGTCACTTGGATTATTCATCTTGGAGAAGAGGAGGCTGAGGGGTAACCTCATTGCAGTCTATGGCTTCCTCAGGAAGGGAAGAGATGGGGCAGGTACTGATCCCTTCACTTCTGTTATCAATGACGGGATTTGGGGAGATGTCAGGAAGCTGAATCAGGGGGGGTTTAGGGTAGATATCAGGAAAACGTTTTTCACCCAGAGGGCAGCCCAGCACTGGAACAAGCTCCCCAGGGAAGTGGTCACAGCACCAAGCCTGCTTGATTTCAAGAAGCCTTTGGATGATGCTCTCAGGCACATGGTGTGATTCTTGGAGTGCCCTACACAGGGACAGGAGTTGGACTCAATTATCCTGATGGGTCCCTTCCAATTCAGCTGATTCTATGATAAGACACCTAAGACATTTGGTCTCTATAGAGCAGAGCACAATTTGGCCTAAGCCGATGCACAGTTGTAGGAAACAAATTTGCTTGTCTAGCTAGTCTGATTAGAATCAGGGCTTGAGTATGTGGGAGGAAACTTAATTACTCCCATTTTAGAGGAGACAGAAAGTGCAGAGAACTAGTTCAACTTCCAGAAACTCAAGCAGAATGGTCAGGAAGCAATTTCTGGGGCCTATCCCGGAAGGTAGTAGTTTTCTACTTGAGAAGGAAAAATAAACAAGAGACTGTAATATGTAGGAACACTGTTTATGAACTCAGCTGCTCAGAACTAAGCCTGAAATCACAGCCTCCACCTAGGCAGTGATTCTGTTTTGGAAAAAAGATCAGTGGCAAAACTCAGGGGTTGTTTGAAATTTGCTTATCTCATTTCCTGAAGTGCTGAAGACAAAAATACAACAAATGCAGCAAAATGCATACACAAGCACCTCTGACTTACTGCTTTATGATTGGTGCAGCCTGCAGAAAAATCTCTTGTTTATAGTTTCTGCAGCAAATAGCCCAGCACCAGACTGATTGTACTGTGAACCTGGCAGGCAAGGGCAGAAAATAAAAACTGCAATGAATTGTGCTGACATAGCATGTTTCCTCTAGAGGGACTTTACACTGAGTAAGTGCAATGTCTGCCCAC